TTAGGAATCCATCTAACAAAAGAAGTCAAAGATCTCTTCAATGAAAACTACAGTACTCTGAAAAAAGAGATCAAAGAGGATTTCAGTAAACTGAAAAATATCCTTGCTCATGGATAGGAGAACCAACATTGTGAAAATGGCCATACTCCCAAAATTGCTGTAGAGATCCAAAGCAATTCCCATTAAACTACCATTAGCATACCTCACAGATCTCGAGAAAACATGCCTTTAATTCATCTGAACCAGAAGAGACCCAGAACAGCAAAAGTAATCCTGGACAACAAGGACAAGTCAGGTGGAATCACAATCCCTGACCTGAAATTACACTACAAAGCTACTGTCATAAAATCAATATGGTACTGGCTAAGAAACACACCTGAGGATCAATGGAACAGACTGGAAGAAACAGGCACAATCAAAAACACACTCAGCCACCTAATCTTTGATAAAGGTGCAAAACAAACTCACTGGAAGAATGATAGCCTCTTCAATAAATGATGCTGGAAAAATTCACTTGCCACCTGCCAGACTAAAAATAGACCCAAACCTATCACCATGCACCCAACTCAAGTCAAAATGAATCACAGATCTCAATATGAAAACAGAAACACTAAATCTATTGGAAAAGAAAGTACATAATAACCTTGAAGACATAGGGGTAGGCAGAGAATTCATAAACAAAAACCAAACTACATGGGAAACACTTCAAAGAATCAACAACTGGGATCTCATCCTATTGAAAAGTTTCTGCACATCTAAAGAAATCACCAGTAGAGTAAAAAGAAAACCCACAAATTGGGAAAAAATTTTAGCTGACTGTCCCTCAGACAAAGGGCTTCTATCTAGAACATATAAACAATTAAAAAATATCAGCCCCCCCAAATTCAAAGACCCAATCCAAAAATGGGCATCAGAGATGAATACACACTTCTCAGATAAGGAAATACAAACAGCAAATAAAGACATGAGAAAATGTTCAATATCATTAGTCACTTGAGAAATGCAAATTAAAACAACACTGGGATTCCACCTTACCCCAGTAAGAATGGCTAGCATTAAGAAATCAACCAGTAACAAATGCTGACGAGGTTGTGGAGAAATTGGAACCCTTCTCCACTGCTGTGGGAATGCAGACTGGGGAAACCACTGTGGAAATCACTTGGAGATTCCTCAGAATACTAGGACTAGAGGTCCCATTCAACCCAGCTATTCCCCTTCTGGGTATTTTCCCAGAAGATCTAAAAACGTCATATCACAGCGATATATGTGCACCTAAGTTCCTAGCAGCACAATTTGTAATTGCTAAATTGTGGAAGCAACCCTAATGTCCATCCACCGAGGGTGGATAAGAAAATTGTGGTAATTTTATATAATGGAATATTATTCAGCTATAAAGAAAGATAAACTCAAGGCTTTTATAGGTAAATGGTCACAACTAGAGATCATACTCAGAAGTGAAATAAATCAGATCTGCATGTCCAGGCACAGCATTGTCTCACTAGTGTAAAACCTGAAAGAGTTAATATAAACTCGGAGATATGATAGACATTGTGAAATGATAGGAAAATGGTCAATGGTAAACGGCAAGTGGGATGTGGGAAAAGAGAAGGGAAAGAAGGAGAAATTTTGTATGTATGTATACACAGAATAGTTAACATAGTTGATCTACCGTCTTCTATTTCTTTGCTGAAAGAAACTGTTAAGAAGTCCTTGATTGATCAATATTGCATGTCTCTATTTGCTGTCATGAGAAATCACTTTGAAGATATCAATATGTAATACAACAAGCATGTTAATTTCCTACCACTTTGTTTGTAACTCTGTATTGTGTATACTGTTCTTTTGCTATTTTGTAAAAGGTTGTCTGTCTGCTAATGTTTCCGTTATTTAAAAAAGAAAAAAATTAGCTTAAATATTAAGCTCTTGGTTTTATAACTGTATGGCAATTATGTTAAGAGAATGTTTTAATTCAGGAGAAAGGAGTCATTATATCTGGAAGTTTCTTTCAAATGGTTTTTACTTGAACTTTTTTTTAACTAAACCTCTGGAAACAAGGCAGTGAGTTCTGATCATCATGTTTCAGAGTTCAGTTTTTATAACAATAAAGGCACATTAATAATTACATGCTATTTTTTTTACTGCAGCTACAAAGGAAAACCCTTCCTGCCAAAGTAATTTTTTAAAAATTAGAAAGATATGATGTCTTTGGAAGAAGTTTTTCAGCCTGTGTTCATGACACATCAAATTTAGGAAAGAACTAGCAAGTACAATCCATTTTCAGGTATTTCTTTCCCCAATAAATAAAATGTAACTTTAGTGGCTGTTTGTTGTTGGAAAGACAACTATATTTCCTCCCTTCTCACATGGGAATTTGACCTCCCAAACTTACTGTCTCATAAACATTTCTCAGGAACCTATTAGATTGCTTCTATTTGTTTAAGGAATTTATCCAGATTGTGATTCTCTTTGTTCTCACTTTGGTTTACATAAACAATTCTGAAAACACAAGGAAAATTTGAAGAATAAGATGAATGCCGTGACAGTTCATAGCTCATGTTCTAGAAAATCTCAAGACCTATTACAAGCAATTCCTTCGTATTTTAGTCATGGGTAGAATCCTAGGCTAGAAGAACAACAGCATTAGCTACTAGTTATGCTTCTGTCTACTTGTGGTGAATTATTATGGGCCCTCAAGCAAGGGAAGGTATGATGGTCAGCAAGAGCACATTTTTCTGTGGTATACATTATCATAGGATTATTCAATAAGATTATTCAATTACCAAGTAATAAAGCTATGTATCAAATCTTTACTACGTGCTTTAAATCCTACCTTAGTCTGACCCTCCTATAGATCTAGTATGGTAGAGAGTAAAAAGTGAAGGAGTTAGAAGTAAAAAGTAATGATGCATTAATTTACTTTGAAATGATTCAGGGAAAACTCACACACACAATGATAAAATGAATACGGTAAAATGTTAACAGATACGTTTATGTTAAAAAGTGTACTACTGTCCTACTGCTCTGGGAGTCTAACGCATGAACATCTCAAGTTCAAGTCCAACCTGGGCAACTGAGTGAGAAACTATATCCAAATAACAGTGTGTGGGAATATAGGAAAGGTCCTGGTTCAATCTCCAACAACAACAACAACAACAAAAAGGTGTACTATTATTTTTGTACTATTTTATTTTGACAGTTCTTGTTACGTTTGATGTTATTTTTTATTTTCAAGTAAAAAATTTCAAAAGTACATCAAAAAATTAGTACTATGGTACAGAGCCTATGTCTGCTAATAATTTAATTTGTAGAAGAAATTCATTCATTTAAAAAGTTCAATTATACACAACTTTAGGTAAGAAAAGAGCTTACCCATGAATGGGAATGGCAAAAAGCTTTTCCATATTAGAAAGAATGACTCTTACAGTCTCTGGTATTCTGGAAGATCCCAACTCGGTTACCAAGAGTGATTTGGTAATATCTGGAAAAGAAATGTTTTAAATAAACAGTAGATTCTAGAAAGATCTGACACATCTAATTCAAAATAAAACAGGTAATTTATATCCCTCTTTCTAGTTTTATCAATTTTTTTCTAAACTTTAAAGTATTAAAAATTTATTTATCCTCAAGTAATAATTTTATTACCAAAAAGTTATGTTTTTTAAGACTACTCTCCAAAATGTGCAGAATATAACCAGTTTGCCTGTGTGCATACCTTTAGTGAGAAATGAATAAATCTCTTAAAGTACAAATTAGAAGTTAAGTTCTATAACGAATTTATGTACAGATTTGAAATAGAACAAAAGTTAAGGTGGCATCTTTCTTATCTGACCTCCATTTTACTAAGGTAACAGATTATCTAGTACCTTCCATTCCCCTTTAGAATAATCAAAATTGAATCTCTCCACAATTCATCTCTTCATCCTGTTTATCTCCTCCCATCAGGTAAGACATTTACTTATCAGCTCTTTGTTCCTGGTGTGTTTATAACTGTTGTACTACTTTTAATTGCTATACAATTAAATTAAGTGGGAAATAAGGGTTGAGGATGTAGCTCAGTGACAGAGTAAATGTCGAGCATGCATGAGGTCCCAGGTTCAATTCCTAGCACTACAAAACAAAAAAGCGAAAAATGATCATGCAAAGTAAAAGAGCTGTTTCTATGAAAAGCTATCACATTCCTTCAGTTCAAAGGTGCACTTTCTTTCACACATTGATATCTCAAAAATAGGATGTATCGTCCAATTTGTGTGGACTTAGACTTCAACAAAAATAAAAACTAAAAATCTGCTCTAAAATTGGAGGGGAAAATTTTTAAAACGCTAGAAGGATTCTGAACTCAGACTGAAAGTATTTTTAAAGTCTTGTTATACTTGAATCTGAAACTATAAACTATGGGAAATGTTGGATGTGGTTTCCCAAAGAAAAGTAACTCAAAATTTCAATAACTGCCACGCATTGGATGCCAATCATTTAGCTCACAAAAAAATGATACAAAAATGTTTTTGTATTTGAAGATTCCACATCCACTGACTCAACCAATCTCAAATTGAAAATATACCTCCCCGCTTGGGCCAGCCCCCAGCCTCGTAGGCACCTGGGAGGAGGGCCCCCGGCACCCGGGAAGCCACACGGCGGGGAGTGCTGGCCCTTAGGCCAGCCCCTGGCCTCACAGGCGCCTGGGAGGAGGGCCCCCAGTGCCCTGGAAGCCATGCGCTAGCGTGCACTGGCACACGCCAGCCCTCAAGCCAGCCACAGCAGTGCAATTGAGAACTACTATGGCCCAGAGAAGCAATGACACAATTGGCCCACCACACATCAGCTGCGGAGGCCTGCCCACAAACGTGGTGAATAATTCTGACATGGAGAAACCCCTGGGAATACATGCCACACAACAGGTCACTCTTGCCCCTGCCATTGAGAACCAGAAAGGTCCAGAGTCAGCAGAGGAGCAGCTGCTGAACAAGGACTCAGAAAACATGAGAATACAGCCTAAGCTCAAAGAGTCAAAGGTCTAATGGACCGGGGTCACAAGAACCATTCAGAAGCTAGAAACCAGGAGGACCTTGTGCAATACCTGGGGAGATCCCCTGGAAGCCATTCTTTCCCTGACAGTACAGGCTGCGGTGGAGGAGCACCTGGAGTTCCGGGGAGGTCTGCAGCAAGATTCCTACTGCCTTTGCTGACGGTTAGGGAGAGAACACTAGCGGGTGTGGCGTCCCAATGCAATGGGAGGCTGAAGGAAAAAAGCTACAAAAAATGGCTTTCGCCCCACATGGCTCACTTGAGATGTTAGTAAGAATTGCCTCCTCAGTATGCTATAGCCATGATGAGGAGGAGGCCAAGGAGAGAAAACAAAGGGACTGAGCAAAAGCAGCTGCTTTTGCTGCAGCACTAAGAGAAACAGACCCTAAGTCTGATTCCCGGGGCTCCAAGAAGAACTCGACAACTGCATTCATCTGCTACCACTGTTAAAAGCCAGGCCACCTCAAGAGGAACTGCCCTAAGAGGCCCCCTGGGCCATGTCCTGAATGCAAAGGTGACCACTGGAGATCGGTCTGCCCTCTGAAGTAGAAGCCCCAGAGCTCGGATCCATCCTACCAGTTAGTCCAACAGGAATGAGGGGGCCGGAGCATACTCTGCCTTCTTCTCGCCAAACTATCATCTGCATGGAGGAGCCCCAGGTAATCACAACAAGAAAACAGCCTGTTGCAAAACACAGGTGCAAGTCTCTCAGTCCTTTTCAATCCTGGCCTTCTTCCAGATGTCATACCTCAGTGAAAGGAGTCACTGGTGAGGAGGTAATACACTATTTTTCACAACCCTTAGGCTGTAACCACTTGTTAGATGCTTCTTGTGTATCTGTCTTCCTGAGAAACTACTTTGAAGATACCACCATGTATTACAGCAGCCATTGATATTTTCCTACTAATCTATCCATAACTGTGTAATGTTTGTATTGTTCCTATCCTATTTTGTAAATGGATGTATGTTTATTATTATGTTTTTCCTACAACAACCATTGAGAATAGTTAATGATTATTCAATTGGTCACTCATGTATAGCTCTATTTATTTTCTTTAGAAGCCACTTTGAAGATACCAAAGTATAGTACAACTATTGATAATCTCCTACCCCTTTTGTCTGTAACTCACTATTATTTGTCTATTTGTTTTCCTGAGAAACTATCTTGTAGATAACAATATGTAAAACAGTAACCATTGATAATTTCCTATCACTTTGTAATTTGGTAAGCCCCCCATTATTATGTTATCCTTCTTTTACTCTTTAAAATAAAAAATTTTAAAAAAAAAACCTCCCCATAACTGTACCTCTACTGAATGTTTACAGACCTTTTTCATTGCCACTGTTTCCTAAGCATTATGTAACAATTATTTACATAGCATGTACACTGTATTAGAGATTACTAATAACCTAGAAGTGATTTAAAGTAGTATATAGGAGTATGTGGGCATCTTATATGCAAATATAGTTATCATTTTATGTAAGGTACTTGGACACACATGGATTCTGGTATCACCAAGGCGTCTTGCAACCAATCTGCGGATATGGATGGATAACTGTGTATCTATCATTTTTAATGATTCTCAGCTTTAACATTCTTTCAAATTATTGTTTAATGTTTGGTCTAAAATGGCATCAGATCAGAGGAATTCTATGAAGAATTTGAGATGCTACAGCTAAAACAATAAACCATGGAGGTATGAAGCCACTCTTATTCAACCTCTTATCTCCATCACCAAGATAATATTGAGCTAGAAATGTATTTGCTCTTCATTTGTTTTCCCTGCTTCCATTATTGCATTCAAAACTGAAGTTAAAATACCCAAATAAGAAAAACAGCACAATTTATGAATCATTCAGTATTTGCAGAACTCCATGTTAACAATAAGAAGCTATAAAATATGAGTCTACAATACCAATTCTACCAAAATTTGGAGGACACACATACCATCTTCCTTTGAAACCTGTAGTTTTTGGCCATTACAAAAGGCACCTTTTCCTTTCCGGCCAGTATACATCTTATCTTCCACACAACTGTACACAACTCCAAATTCCATCTGCAGAGGAAAAACAAGTTTCCTTTACCAAACCTGAGTATTGTTCTTCATTAAATCAACATTTTTTTCTAACAATATATAACAAAACATAGTATACTGACAGTGTATTCAAATGGCTAAACTGTGGGATACATAAAATGTTTATTTCCAGCCTAAACAGAAGAAGTTATCAGACTACAATCCTTGAGTTTCCTCGCACCTGCTTCTAGACTTACAGCACCCACCTTACCTCTCCACTCGAACCTCACAGAAAGATTGCATTCCCATTAAAATGAACACTACTGTCCCACCCATTCCCTGAAAAACCTCTTCAATGGATTCCTTTCCTCTTAGACTTCTCTTCTGGAACCTTCTCATCATGTTCCTCCCTCCCTGCTGGGGATACAGCTCAGTGGCTTAAGCACCTGCCTGGCAAGCACAGGGTCGTGACTTCGATCCCCTGTACTGCAAAAAACAAAACAAAACAAAACAAAAGTTCCTCCCTCCCTTACTGCTATGGTTTAAATGTCTGTCCCCTCCAACACATGTTGAAATTTAACTGTCAATGTGATGGCATTGGGAGATGGGGCCTTTAAGAGGTGATGGGTGGGTTTACTGCCTTTAGGTTTCCAGGATTGTGCCCTCTTAGCCCCTTCTGCCTTCTGCCTCTGAGAGGAGGGAGAGGAAGATTCAGCTTTTTTTCCCTTTTGGAGGATATAGCACAAAAAAGCCATCCTGGAAGACAATGGGCTCAAAAGGCACTAAACCTACTGGTGCCTTGACTTTAAACTTTCCAGTGTCCAGAACTGTGAGCCAACACATTTCTGTTCATTACAAATTACCCAGTCTCAGCTGTTATTATGTAACACAATCAAAGACACTGTAAAAACTCTTTTCCTCTTCACTATCAAAGAGTACTCTACACTTTCCATCTCTTAATCTCGTTTTGTTAAATTTGGATTCAGCCCTGACCACACATTCTTCTGACACTCCTAGACAAACAGCATCAGTTAAATCTTACTGACTAAATGTAATATGATACCTCCATGTTTCTGGCTGTCCTGTCTTTGTTGTACTTCACTCACAAGTCCATCTCAGTATCATTATGTTTGAACCTTTTTCTCTGTCTAGTGCTTAAAATTTGCATATCTTGGGCTTCTTTCCCTTCTTCTATTGCTTCCTATTCCCCCTTCCTTTCTATATTCTTACAGGTTAGTCCTTTCCAGTCCACAAATCCAACAACCACTAATAATTCTGGCTTCCATCTACCCTATCATTACAGTTAAGAACCTATGCTCTGGACCCTAGTCTTCCACACACCTCATTCAAAATGACCAAAACCAAAATTACTTTTTCAAATGTTCTTTCTTATTAAAATGCTTTCCTTTTCTACTTGTTTACTGGGCAAACCCTAATTTTCTAAGCGCCAACTCATATAACTCCTTCTATTATGAAGATTTCCCCAACTCACTATTGGCAGAATTGTTTATATCCTCTTATGTATTCTACAGTATTTTTTTCATGGCTCCACCACATGCTATGCTTACCTGTTCACACAACTGACTTTTCACTCAACTACACCTTCACTGGAAGGCACAGCATATAACATAGGCTGATTACATGCTAAATGTTCACGTAGCTCCTTTTGGATGTGCTCACTAAAAATACAGTGATATAGTAAAGCCTTCATGAACTGAAGTGTAATTTGTGTTCTTGTCAGTTATTTTTTAATTGTTTTGCTCATATACTGGTAAAAGACATCATAAGCCCCTTCGAGACAGGAGTATAAGATATTAGTAAACATCCTTCACTATTTGGCTAACCACATAGCCAAATAGAGGGAAGTGCATTCAAATGATTCTACTCTACTGTGCTTTAGATATAAGTATTCAATTATATTTAAGTTCCTAAAAGTACTCTGCATTTTCCAACAATACTTTGGATTCTGTCACTTCCTGCTCTTTGAATGCCTATCTTCACTGGCACTATTAAAACATGACTAGCTCAAATCCACCTCTTTCAGAAAGTATTTTAGATCACACTAATTCCTATCACATGTGACTCTATTACATAAGTAATAATGATTAAGTATTGAGTTGTATTTCATTTCTTGTGTGTATTTTCTCCTTATAATTCCTGCTTCTCAGAAAACACTGCATTCAAAATAATGTATATGAATTTGAATATAGAGACAAATCTAAATCTATTATAGAAACATTTACTCTTTCTCAGAAAATGACAGCAAAGCACTTTATAAATCATACATTTAAAACAACATACCTTTTTATCTACAACAAAGCCAATGGAAACAGCTACAAAAGGAAATCTTTAAAAAAGAGACAAAACCCAAAAATTTACCAAGACAGAACTTAATTTCAGCAAAATTCATCTTTTTATAACTGCTTCCCGAAGTTTTCATATTTAGTCTCACCCCTCCTCCCCTAACAAAGTAAAACATAGTAGTGCTTATAGTATGTGTAAGGGGAAGGAAAGGAGGAAGTAGTATATATAACACAATTCCTATGTGCAGGGTAATTCTATAGGAGTGACATGTCTGAAAGGATTTTCAAGAAACTGATTAACAATGGTCACTTCCAGAAACTGAGGAAGAGAAGAGGGAAGTATATTTTGTACTGCATGTTCTTTTATCTGTTTAATGTCAAATGTTATGAATATAACCACATAAAAAAATTTTTTTAAATAAAAATGAGTCAGTTGGTGTACTCTGGGAGGTTGAGGTAGGAAGGTCACAAGTTTAAACTTGGCCTGGGTACCTTAATGACTTAGGGAGACACTGTCTCAAACGAAAAAGTAAAAAAGAAGTCAGGAAATCGGTCAGAGAACAGGCCCCAGGTTTATCACCAATACTGCAAAAATACCCAAAACAAACAAAAAATCAATAAATTGAAAAATGTTTGAAATTGATCATGGATTCTTAGTACTCCTTTTTCTGTTTATTTCCTCATACTGTAGCTTAGTCCTATGGTATACCCAGGAACAGAAAAAATTGTTACTTGTCTCCACTACAACACCAAACTTGGAGCTTTACATATTTAAAAAGAAATTTGCAGCCACAGTGATTTCTATGACTGCATGACAGCTTGAACAGTTTTAAATTCTGACTCACGAGAATTATATCGAAGGAAAAAAAAGTTTAACATAACTACTTAAAATAAAAACTCTTAAGGATTTAATATTTGAGGTTTTCATTTAACAAAACAGAATCACTGCACATATTGTTTTAACTTTTAATATTACAATATATCATCAGCTACTTTCAACATTTAAAATACATAACATTCCTCCATATACAGATTCTACATCTTAGTTTCATAGACCTTAATGATTCTATATGAAGCACAAATACACACAGCTACATCTCAAGTTCAAATACAACATCTATATTCAATTTCCTCAAATTAGGTACAAACTAACGCTCACCAGCAACTTCATCAGGTTTTCTTTTAGTGATAATACAATGAGTTATAATATACTCACTCTGTGTCAGGCATTAAGTTCTTATATAAATGTACTACTCAGGGAGTCCCAACAATAAATAATTATATGAGGCAGGTACCACTAATATGGCCATTTTATATATATTTTTAAAACTGAGGTTTCAAAGACTCATTAATTTGCCTAAGGTCACAAAGCCAATAAAAGATGTATCAATATTCAAGTCCAAGTCTGTTGATCCTAAAACCTAAATAATCTTTAACACTTTTCTCCTAGAGGAAATTTATCTTATATAGACAACGCTCCTCTAGTGACCTCATTAGTTTCATATTAATCTCAAAGCATTTATGTTGCTTCCTTACATTTTTCTACTACAGTTAGAAAAAGAATGGTGCACTTTACAACATAAGACAAGCCCAAAACATTACTCTCTTTACTTCCTCCTTATGTGACATAAGGTCTTCAGCAAAGTAAGTTTTGTTCTACTATTAACATTTTATATGCACATTCTGAGACATAAAGAAGTGTAAATTATACAATTCCTTAAAATGTAAATGTTCCTGAATAGAGTCCTCTAAAGGTCTATCCAGTTAATAAACAGCAATTACATTAAAACTTTAGAAACATACCTATGTACAAAGTTAGTTGTTCCATCAATAGGGTCAATGATCCATGTGGGGCTGTCAGTTAAGACACATTTTTCCCCAGCAGCCACAGATTCCTCACCAATGAAACTAAAAACAAGAAAGACAAATTAATCTCTACATTGCTTTCAACCACTTCAAACTGTGACATTTTCTTAGCTACAGAGTCTACTATAAAACATAATCAAAGTTGGTACTCTATTTTTCTCCTTTTTTCTTCTGTAGAAATCAATGTAAGTGATAAAGGTTTATTTTATTTCTCCCAGAGCAAAAGCATATGAAAAGTTTTAACACCAGGGCAACTAATGGCACATATGAGTGTGCACACATATGGACCTGAAAAGCACATTTACCACAGATGAGAAGTCATTAAGGAAGTGTGGGAAACAAGCTCTTGGCATACTCCTTCTCAAAATACGGAGCCTAGTAGCCCTTGTTTGGGAGTGTCTGCTGGACACAATGATTTATTTCTAACCAATAACAGGAAGTGGAAGTGACAGTGTGTAGTTCTGGAGACTAATTCCCAAAAAATAGCCCCATGGTTTTTATCTTGTTCTCTTTCTCCTTCCCTGGCTCATGCTGTGAGGAGGGTAAGAGGCCCCCGTGAGGAACAGCAGGAAGCTGCCAGCAGAAAACCCACAAGGAAATGAAGTTGCCAACAATCACAAAAATGAACAGTCCCTTCAGCCCAAGTCAAGCCCTGAGATGACTGCAGCTGTGACTGACAGACAGTCTGACTGTAACTCCTTTGAGAGACGTTGGCCATAACCATGCAGCTGCATGACTCTAGTATTCCCATTCCAGTGAAACAGTGACATAATAATAGTTTGTAGTCTAGAGCTCTAGGTTTTTAGGGCAATTTGCTTTGCAATAAAAGATAACTAATAGAGAGAACACCAAATAAATTAATGAGAAAGCAAATAATCATCCACCAAAATGACTCTGTGTACATATCTTGCTAAAACATGCTATAAATTCTACATAAATCACAACAGTGGTGTCTGAGTTCACTGGTTTTTAACTTCGTATTTTATTTTCCATTATTCAACAATAAACTGTATTCGTCATTTTTCATGTTTTTTTTTCCATCTTTTTCTCTTAGCTGCAGACCTTTTTATTGGGAGGAAGTATATTTAGCCACATCTTTTCTTTTCAATGGCTAAAAGACCAGGAATTTGCAATGGCACTACAAGGAGGAAGTACAGAATGGCAGTGCTAACACTTCAAAATGATGGCCGTATTTCTGTACCTGTGAGAGCGCCCTAATTTTAGGATTTGCTCCCCAACTCCTTAAAACTACCTCTACTCTGCCACATTAAAAAGCCTGCAATACAGTGAATATAACTAAACTTTTGAAACATGCCTTGCCAGCATCCAAACATTCCTCTTATTATGGAAGAATCCAAACATTTATTCTTCTCTGATCCCTGGTACCTTAAGCATAGGCAAACCACTGGGCTCAGTAACATGTTCCTGCCCCGGATTTGTAATCTTAAACTAATGAGATTAAAGATATAGCTTGGCTAGAAGAGTTTGTTTTGATTTTTTTGAGATAAGGTTTTGATATGTAATTCAGACTAGCGCTGAACTCCCTATGCAGCCCTGGCTGGCTTCGAACTCACGACAATCCTCCTGCCTCAGCTTCCTAGGTGCTGGGATTACAGGCACGTGCTACCGTGCCTGGCTGTTAGTATTTAAAGCTATCAGTCAAGAGCAAGGCCACCAGCACCATCCTAAGCAATGGCTCCTGTGTCACCTCTAGGTAAGACTTCCTCCCTCAAGTGGTCCAGAGCTACCCAACATCCTCAAAACAAATTCCCTCTCAGTTTAAGTTAACTCAAATAAAGTTCTGTATCTGGAATCAAAACTTTACCCTAATGTAGGCTTAATTTTATCATTTGAAATTGATGCAAGAAATACCTGTGAGATGGATACTTCTTCTTTATGGAAGAGATAAGCATTTTTTCAACTTTTTGGTCAGTCGCAGTTACCAAATCAGCTGGAGAACTTTTAATCATTACGTTCATTTTTTGTTTTAGAGCTTCACGAATCACCTAAGATGTTTTTTTGGTAAGCAAACAGAACAGGTATAAGGTATTTTAAAGCAAACAAAAAGACAAAACATACAAACGATTTAAGACATTCAATCTGTCTTAAATGTTAGTCATAAAAATTTCTTATGTCTTATAAAATAAGCCTTATTGGTTATGTCCTTCTAGACACAAAAATCACATATTATATTCTATTTGGATTCACAACTGTCACCATAAAATCTTTAATGATATAAAATTGAAATATTCACTCTAGTTAAAGTTCTACTGAAATGAAAACATATGTAGATTAATCAAATGTATACTTAATTGCACACTCTATACCCATCACATCCTGGCTGAGAACACTTTAGTTCTTACCTCTCCAGCTTGTCTTGCTATCGTTACTGCGTAATCCATGCATTCCTGCCAAGGATCAGCCATCTTCTGAGTATATTTAACACATACAAGCACAAAGAAGTTAGAATCTCTCAAAGTCTTAATTATAGAATACTTAATTCACAAAAACATCTCAATTAGCAACAGACTATTATTTCAAGATTCACCCCCTCCCCTATTTTAGTGTTTAATCTTTTTTCTCGAGTTACTCATAGATGCAGTAAAAAAAATTCAACCTAATATATCATTCACTTGTACCGCAGAAACCTTTTGCACAGTAAAAACATTCTGTGAAACTGTCTCCCATAGAATCCATCTCACATCGCATAAAAAACAAACAAAAATGCATCGGTTTGGGGAACAAGGAAGAAAGGACAAGAAGGATTTAAAAGACAGGTATTGCATATGGTTGGGTAGCAATTAAAGTGAAAATAAGAAAAAAGACACTGGGAATACAAAAGGAGAAACTATGCAGGGAAGGAGCAAAAGGTACACATACTGAGTGCCAGGCAGGTGCACCACATGTAACTTTTTTAAAATAAGCTTTTAAAGATGAAGACATTGGGGCTGGGGATTTAGCTCAGCGGCAAAAGTACCTGCCTGGCAAGCGCAAGGTCGTGAGTTCGGTTCCCAGTACCAGAGAAAAACCAAAAAAAAAAAAAGATGAAGACATTAAGGTTCGAGGGTGAACAATAATTTGCCCAATGTGATATAGACAAATAACACAGATTTCGGAACTCTATGCTGACTTTAAGGTCAACTGATATTTCTACTACGATGTTCTGAGGGCTTCCCTGAATTTCAGAGGCGGGGGAAACAACTTAGTTGTGTATTCAGACGTGTCCAGCTTTCCACTCACTTCTCTTGACTCACTTCTGTTCTGACCACACTCTAAAATTTGTACACAGCACGGAGAAATATTTCAGCTGTTGTATCCAGAGCAACCCTCATGCTGTCTCCTTTTCAACTGAGAATAACTGACAGCATTTCATCTTGAAAGACTGTTCAGAAATTCCTCTACTATTGTGCACACCATAGGAAAGGGGAGAGAAGCACAGTGGAAGGCAAGTTTCTGCTGATTGCTTTTTCTTCGTGATGCAAGCATTTAGGTAATTTTTAAAAGGAAACTACTTTTGAGTTACAGACACAGCAATTCTCATCTCTTCAAGAATGGTTTCCCAACCTTTTTTTTTCCTGTTCCATGCCACTCTTTTCCTCTTAGCAGAACTTGAAGTTCTTGGGCTGTGTGTGCTTCCTCATCAGATACTCTGCTCAAGCCACTCACACTCCATCTGCTTATAGCACTGAATCACTCCTACCAATTCTTCAAGGCCTGCTTCAAAAGTTACCTTTGCTTATGGGATTCCCCAGCCAGAAATTGTTTAATCATTCAATAGAGAGTGGCTGAATACTTATCATATGCTGTACACAGCACCATGGTGAGGAAAACCAGGTCCCACTTGCACTTACTTTTTTGGGGGGAATCAGATGTTAAGAGGAAGAAAAAAAATCAGACTACTCCAAAAGCCAAAAATGTTATAAGGTTACACAGGAGCAATGCAATGAGAAAGATGTAGCAGGGGAACTTTGACTTGATTCAGGATGGGGTAAGGTTTCCTTGATGACATGACTGAATCAAGATGTGAAGGAAAAAATCAGAAACTCAACTGTAGAGTGCTTGGTATTGGAAAGACCCAAACATGATGGCTCAGAGATCAGTGGAAATGGAGCAGGGCAAAGCTGTGGGAAGCAGTAAGAATCACCCTTTACAAGGCCTTACACCCAATGGAATGACTGGAAGGCGGAGGGAACAGCACAGTGGGTGTAAGCAGACAGCTTAGGAAACTTAGATTTGGAATGCAATACTACAGATGAGACCCAAAGGCTAGCTTAAACCAGAGAGGGTGTTATGTAGGCCAAGAGACTGTGACAGTTGAGGTATCTACTTCAGAAGATAAAACGAGGGGTACTTGGCAACAGAGTGCACATAGGTAAGAGGATGAGGAAGAGATGAATGATGACCAGGTTTCTACTTCAGGAACTGAATGAATAATGACATCCACTGAAAAAGGAAGCAAATGAAGTGAAGCTTCCAATTTGGGTAGGAGATGCAAAGATCAAAACTTTAATTACTGGGAGAGGAGCACTGTGTAAAATCAAAAGGCGATGCCAATTAGGAAGCAAAATATAGATGGGTCTTGAGTTCAGAGAAGGGGTAAGGCCCACAGATATAAATATGTAAGTCATCTGAATAGACAGCAAGCGAGGTTCTGAGTCTGAATGGCATTCCTGGAGCCTTGAGCCTTGGCCTGGAAGAACCCATAAAGCTTGTAATTACTTTTAGAACACTCAGCAAAGTCTTCCTATATTTTAGCCATTTGTGGGCATGCTGTATGTTCTTAACCAGTTTTGAATACATTTCTTGAGAAAGGGGGTTAATAGAAATTATGTTAAGTCCTAAGATTAATTACAAGAGCCAGAGAGATGAGGTCAAAGAAGTTCATTAGTAGCAGTTTCCAAGTAGGGGTGTGAAGCCAGCAAAAGACTGTTTATGTTGAAACCTAAAAATTCTTTCAGCTTTACATCTCAGTTATGCTTGTCCAAATGTTACCTCCCCTTGCTGCTGGCAGTTTTGGGAAACTTGCCCCGGTTCTTTTCTGGTTCTTTCTCTCGTTAGTATCTGTAAATGACTTAGTAAATCCTTTTATTTCAGAGATTTTTGTGGTCTCAAGAACACTGGTATACAAATGCCTATATTTTATGATACTGCTCTTTTCCAAAGCTATAAATCCTGAAACCTTTCCAAATGTTTTGGTCCTGGCCAGCCTTCGCATGGGGGAAGTCATGCCACTCTCTATCACCCGCCCCCAGGATAGCACGGGACCTGGGGTCCTGTCCCACCGCAGACACTGCCACTTTAGGCCCCGGGCATCAGCCGAGTCTCTCTGAGCTTCCTTGGGTCGGTAAAATGCACATTTGGCAATTACTAAATAAGGTGCCTCCGGGGTTAAGTAAATTCGCGAGGGTGAAACTGCTGCAAGAAGGCTGAGGCTGCTTCTCGTGTCGCCGGGCGCGGCCCCGGGGACCTCGCGGCACAGAGGTCGCCCCGCCGCGGCCTCCGCCCGGCATGCGCCTCCTGAGCCCCTCGCGCCCGCCGAACCCGCCCGACGGCGGTGAGGAATAGACAGAATAAAGCCGGCCTCACCTCGGTTTGGAGGACGTCCCGCTCGCTCAGCAGCCAGTGATACCCGAAGATCAATCCCTCCGGACGTGGAGGGCCCGCCGACAGGAAGTCCCGCCTCCACAAAGCCTTCGGGAGAGGCGCGAGTTCCCTGAGGCCCCGCCCACGACAGGAGCTCACGGGGAGCTGCCTCCAAGGCGAGCTTCTCCTAGCTCCTGATTGAACTTGACTTGCCAGACCCTGCATATCCTTTTCTTAATCTCTGGTTCTTCTAACTTCTTTTATCTTGCTTGTCCTTCTCCAAGGATGCCTTTCTTTTCCATTTTGCTCACCCCTTCTTTCTTTCATTTGTGCCCTTTTCCGATTTCCCTTTCTCGCATTTATTCCATAGTACTTACAATTTGACAAAACGTAAATTGGGTTTATGACTCCGGTTATGCAGGACTAATTTGCTGAACCAGTACCAGGTAAATCTATGGCAGATTTAAAAAAGAAAAAAAAAGATAACCAGCCCCAACAGCTCCTGTTCTTCATAATTCATTTAGTTCTTATTTATTGACTTGAAGCGCTTCAGGCAATTGTGTTTTCGTGTGCATTGTTTAGCTTAAACGTTGCAACAGTTCCATGAAGAAGATATGATTTACTTCATCAGAAACATGAGACTGAAGGCTCAGAGAAGTTAAGTGATTTATCCTCTGTGAGAGTAGAGAATGGATTGAACATGTCTCCAAAGTCCACACGGCAGGAATATACATGGTGCAAAAGGTTGCATTGCATAAGACACAGGACTACTCTATAGCCCTTAAAATGTTTACTCTTCGCAGATCTGGCACCATAACATGTGTATTACCATAATGTCCAAAATCCAGAACAGAGGTGAGGTGTCCTATCCACAACAGGACAAGAAAAGTGGATTATTTAGTGCCTTACTGCTGAAATGATTGTTTCCTTTAATCAGAAGACAAGGTGCTGTCACCAGTGTGAAACACATCTCAGAGGCAAAAGATGTGAATGGTGGACCTAATGCTCAAACTTCACAGAGAGCTAGAAACTTACCTACATTTTTCTGAAAATGATGAAGAATCTGATTTGGGTTGGGCATGGTAGCACACACTTGTAATTCCAGCTACTCGGGAGAGTGAAGTAGGAGGGTTGTGCATAGATGTTGTCTCAAAATAAAAAAATATAGAAAAGAAAAAATATATATAGAAAAGAATGGGCTTGTAGTTCAGTTTTAGAGCACCCCAGATTCAATCTTCAGTAAAGGAAAAAAAGAAAAACCAAACAATACAGAAAGTCTGATTTGGATACTTCTGTTTGCCTATCAAGTGACACATTTAGTTTCTTGATTTTAAAGGCATTAGAAACTACTTTTTGGTTCCTCATTATGAATCATGTTAAAATAAAAATGTATTGCCAAATACATCCTCAGTAGTATTGACATCTAACCAAATGAAAATTTCCAGACATTTACAGAAATATCAGAGTCCTCTTTAAATCTTTTTTGAGTAAAAATGATCCCACTGATTTGGCAAAACTGCTAAAGGCAGTGTGAGTAATTTTAGCTAGATAAAGGATCAACTATCTTATTCTTTCAAATTAAAAACATTTCCAGCTTCCCACATAAGATGAGCAGAAAATCACTTTTGTGTAGAGGCCTCAGCTACCACAGCACAGTTATTGTCATGTACCTCATGTCATGTACAACATAAGTTGGAGTTATGTTAGTTTGGTTTGGTTTGGTTTGGTTTTTTCTGGCCAAATGGATCACTGTGCTTGCAAATGCTTTTGGAAAGTGAAGTGATAAATCTGCCAGTGCACAGGGGGGGAGTCTGGTATTCAGACTCCATTGTAGAAGCATTGCGAACAGGTACTACACAGTCCAAAAGATCTTGGTTGAGCTCTGGGAAAGGAGTTCATATGACTGGCAGAGACCTCAATACATAAGAGAAAAACTCTGAGATGGAAACAATACAAACACAAACAAACAAAGCCATAAAATGACTCCATATTCCTAAACAAATGCTAAAACCCGTGAGGTCTGCAGTTAAGGCATTGCCCAGGGACTGGATGTATAGCTCAGTGGCACACATACCTGCCTGACAAGTGCAAGGTCTTGAGTTTGATTCCTGGTACCAAAAAGGCACTGTGGCATTCTTCTTACAAGCCCAACCATTCCAGGAGCAAGTGTGTCTTCTCAAGCATTATCCTTCTCCTTGTCCCAAACTTTGCCTGTTTTACATTGCCCTGCCCTCTTGCCTGTAGTCTATGTAGGTTCAGTGTAAGTTTATACACTTTTTTTTCTCCAAATTTTCATTATAAAATGCTTTAGCTTTTTGAGTCTAGTGGACATTCTTCCCATTGCTCTTTAACCTTGCTTCTAGTAGCTTAGGGAACATGTCCCAGAACCAGTGTTTTCTTTCTGTCTAGCAGCTATAATGAGTGGCTCCATAAATCCTTTCCTTTTGAGCTCTTTTGGTCTCAAGAATTTTGATTTAACACTTTTATATAATGGAATATTACTCAGTTATAAAGAAAGATAAAGTCGAGGCTTTTATAGGTAAATGGTCACAACTAGAGAACATACTCATAAGTGAAATAAATCAGATCTGCATGTGCAAACACAACATTGTCTCACTAGTGTAAAACCTGAAAGAGTTAATAAAAACTTGGAGGTATGATAGACATTGTGAAATGAAAGGAAAACGTTCAAGGGTAAAGGGCAACTGGGATGTGGGAAAAGAGGAAAGAAGCAGAAATTTTGTATGTGTGTATATACAGGATAGTTAACATAGTTGATCTACTGTCTTCTGTTTCTTTGCTGAAAGAAAGTTAAAGGGTCCTTGATTGATCAATATTGCATGTCTCTATCTGTTTTCATGAGAAACCACTTTGAAGATATCAATATGTAATACAACAAGCATTGTTAATTTCCTACCACTTTGTAACTCTGTGTTGTTTGTATTGTTCTTTTGCTATTTTGTAAA